TCGCGCCACAAGCAAACCACACCGAAGCCTAAATCGCGCTATCTCCGAACTATCACACGGAGTGCTGGCCGCTCCCCGGGCAGAACACCTTGCCTGGCGGGAGATATCCCCTTTTCCTTCCACGGCCACATGTCTATCGATCGCACAGCGACAGGACCAGGAGACAACACGATTGTTTGATCATATTCGTGAGGCTGCTGATGTGGCCCTTAATCGGTATCCTACTGATCAGCTGGTCTTTCTGTGTGCTTTAACGCTTGTCATCAAGACTAGCTGTTCTCATATCAGAAGACCTAACATGCTGGAAGAGAAGCGGAGAATTTTGCCGCTGGGTCTTTCTCAGCTGGTAAAAGAGGCTTTTAGAGTACCCGACGTATACGGTCCCACAGTCAATTGCTTGGACCTTCTGCTGACTACTGAACCAGGCAGGTATGAAGTACAGGTTACCTCCACTTTGAGTACATCTGACTACTGTCTGGTGAAATCTGTATCGTCATATTCTCCACCTGATTACGAGTCCCAAAGTGTTCGACGAATATGGCGGTACAAAAAGGAATAGGACGGTACAAGTCAGCTGATTGGGATGAGATGCGACACTTTTTTGCATCCCATCCTTGGCGAGAGTTTGGTTTCCCTTCTGCGGAACCGTCGAGTTGCGCGGATTCGATAACCGACGTCAAGCTATAGAATATTTTATCCCTTTTGCTGACGCTCTCACCGGTAGCAAAGCTCGCCCATGGTTTAACGCTGAATGCGCTCGAGCTGAAAAACGCAAGCATTTAACGTTGTCGCTCAAAACCGCAAAGCTTCGGATATCAGCTCCAAGAAGAAAATTTTCAACCAGGCCGCCAAGTCCTATAGAAAAGCATTATGGAAAGCCAATCTCGATCGCATTAAGCATATTGGCGCGAAACTCTCTGCCAGACCATCTGGCACTAGAGCTTTTTGGTCTCTATCCAAAGCGGTCGAGACAAACTTGTGTCAGCCCTCACTGCCTCTACACTGTAAAACCGGATGGCACACTGGTGCATGCGGCTGAAGAGAAAGCGAGCTTGTTCGCATCTCTATTTGCCTATAATTCGCTTCTGGACAATGGCAACAACATTCCACCTAAATTACCTCACTGCGGGACCATTATGTCAGAAGCTTGTATACACAAATAAGGAGGTTCTCGAAACCTTGTGGTGTCTAAACGTGATAAAGTTAGTGGACCAGATGGTATACCAGCTATAGTTCTAAAGCCTTGTGAACCTGAATTGTCTCCTGTGTTGATACGCTTGTTTCACCTCTCATTTAGGACTGGAATAGTGCCAAAATCCTGGAAGCTGGCCAACGTACAGCATGTCCCAAAAAAAACCCAGCCGTGCTATTCCTGGCAATTATCGGCCAATCTTAATAACTTCCATACTCCGCAAGATTATGGAGAGAATATTGAACGCCTGCTTAATGGCATACCTAAAACAAAATGACCTCTATAGTGACCGGCAATACGGGTTTCGCCGAAATCGGTCGGCTGGGGACCTTCTAGCGTATGCCCATGCATACACATGTATGGGGTGAGAAACTCGAGAACAGTGGAGAGACACTTGCTGTTTCCCTTGATGTCTCGAAGGCCATTGACAGAGTTTCGTACGCTAGTCTATTGGACAAACTTCCAGCGTAAGGCTTATCCCCTGATCTTATTTACTGGGTTCTGGTAGTCGTCGTCGATGGCTGCTCATCTGATCCTATGACGAAGAACGCCGGTGTTTCTCAGGCGTCCGTTCTCTCCCCAACTCTCTTCTTGCTGCATATTAATGATATGCTTATGCCCGGTATCTATGGGTACGCAGACGACAGTACAGTTGTGGAGAGATACCAACCAAGTCCTTGGGCCAGTCGGGATCAAATCTAGTCCGAAAGAGAAGCTATGGTAGAGCGTATGAATCTCACACTACAAGCATCTCTGAATGGGACGATGCCAATCTTGTGAAATTCAACGCCTCCAAAACACAAGCGTATCTCTTCACTGCAAAAAGAAGCCAGTTCTCCTTGGCTCCTTCTTTCTGAAATGTAACACTGACGTACACCGATCATCTCCAGTTACTGGGGGTTGAGATATCCTCAAATCCGAAATGCGGGCGATTCATTGAGCCCAAGGTCAAAGGAGCTGCAAGGAAGCTAGGAGTCATTGCGAAGGTGTGGCGATATTTCACGCCGGGACAGCTTCTTACTTTATATTAAGCGGAAGTCTGGTCGTGCATGAAGTTTTGCTACCATATATGGGCTGGTGCTTCATAATACCACATGAAAGGCGTGCTAAGAGGCTTATTGGTGCCCTGAATTTGGTTAAAACCAATCTTTCCAGCCTCTAACACAGGTGCAAAGTATCAAACCCTTTGGTTTTCTTCAGGATGCATTTCGGAGTGTGAGCAGGAATTGGGTAATTTAATTCCTCCCTCTCCCTTTTACCAACAGACAATCAAATGTTCGGCCAGTGTCCACCCTTTCGTTGTTGATTTACCACGCATTAAAACCAAAAGGTTTGCTACGTCTTTCATCATGCGTACAGCAAAGGAATGGAATAAGTAGTCAACATCTGTCTTTCCATCCGATTACAATGTGGGTGTCTTCAAGGCAAGAGTGAATAAGTTTATGTTACGTCAGTGCGTTTCACCATCTTAGGCTACATCACCACTTACCATCAGGTGGAACTGTAGCTAAGTGCTGGCTTAGAATAACTAAAATAATAATACCGTATATTTATTCAATTACAAAAATGACAAATGGATTGTGTTTTTATTTCCTATAGATGTGTCTTTATAATTGCTGCTGACATTTCATAGGCAGAGTAAATCATATACTAATTTTATTTTATTAGTCATTCTAAAATATATTAACCGCGAAACATCGTGATATAGAGCCAGGATGTCAATCAAATTAAATTTCGTACTTAACATATTCATATTATGATTGCAAGAGTAAATGTGAGATAGTGACAAATAGTTTTTTTTTCAAAGAAAATGTATTTTCCATTTACTTTGATTTATTTATACCATGTTTTTCGATATTTACTGTAAAATAAAATCGAATGTAGTATGTATGACATAAATGTTTATGACATAATTACATACTCGTAATTGAGAAATATCAATTCCCGTCATTTCAAAACAACCGGAACAGTCGGTGTGTTATAAATGCCTCGAAAGAATAATGACCGTATATTTTACTAAGGCCGCTATTACATTACTGTATAAGGTTTATATAGTATGTAAAACACAGTACACATATTTTACATGATCGTTGCTGTAGAACGATATTTAGCAAGCAAGAATCATTTAATGATGTGAATATAATGAATATAATTGATAAAAATATTAAAAATTGACAATATATCTATATAATATGTAACGGGTTTCTATATAATAATCTTTAATAAATAATATGGAAACCACACCAATAATTAATTATAAATAATCAAAAAATAAACACATAAAAATCAAAACAAATTTTACATGTACTTATATATTTCCATACAACAACATAATATCATCATCCTTTTTGCTAAGCGACTTCAAAAAGGGGATGGTACTCGATTCGACTGTATGTATTTATGTGTATTACCTCAGAACTTTTTTCTTGGTGAACCTTTTGAACGCCTTGACCGATAGAAACGCTGTTTACGGCATTCGAAAGAATTCTATTGTTGTCAGATTTCATGAGAATTAGAATTAATTCATCTTGTTACGTTTTGAGAAATCTCAATAAATAAATTTTCAAGAAAATGTTTTTTGAGTTAACATTTAAACATATTTATCGATCGATTCCAGAATCTACCTCAAAAAACCACAACAATTGGCGCAAACCGCACCAAAATCGTTTCTTTCGTTCAAAAGAAATCGTTGTCAAAAAAAAAACGATTTCTACTGAAATTCACTTGAAAATCATAGTTGAACTTTGGAGCGCTTTGCATTTCAAATTAGCGGAAAGTTTCGTATGTTGTCTATAGGGTCGTTCATATATTTTTATTGAAAGCTGGTGCTTCTCACCTGATCCCATATATATTTCATAAAGATCTGACCAATAGTTTTTGAGTTACCCTTAATAATGCGTATTTAATTTACTTCGTTGATATTGATGATGTTCGCATTTTATTTATATTGAGGGCGGTTTTACAATTTTTTTTTAATTTTACAACTTGTAATAATATACGAACCATACCGGAATATAATATTATATATACCTCATTAATAGTTGTCACAGGCTATAGATAATGTAAAATTTATTTTGTATAAGATATAATGTAAACGCGGCCCAGCAAATTAAAAGTAACGATGTTCATTGCCTAGACGAATTAATCACTATGTATCGACAATGGAAGAACTTTCTTTATAAAAGAAGTCTAATTACGAATATTGCTGACAAGACAAATAATGTGGTATTTTTACACGATTTAATCTAAGAGACCTTATTTTTTCTGTACCTATATGTTAAATAGTTCATTCGAATTTACGTTAGACCGGTCATTAATTACCATTTGTTGGCAACTACGATACAGTTTCATGCATCAGCTCACAGTTTAATGATGATGAATTGATTTTTACTGATTACAATGATGTGTGTTTTTAATGATACTGTAGTAGAGAATTCAACTGTAACATAAAAAATTAACATTGAAAAAGAAAACGCATTAAAATAATTTATTTTGGTCTTGTTGGGGTAACAATAATATTTTCAGTGTTAAAAAAAAACTTACAAACTAAAACATAAAAATAAATAGGCAATAGACAAGATGGCAACTAAATAAAACTAGCTACTAAAAGTTCCATATAGTCTGAAACTATGACAGCGTCGTAATTACAAAAAGAATCTTAAAGTTCTTACACCTACGAGTATCATGTCCATACATTACATAGGTACACAATCTTTATAGAAGTAACAATACATTTAAGAATTATTAATGCGTAAGTTATAATTCAGTGCCATCTATGCGATATTTAGTATTCGTCTAAAGACGCCATCTAGTGATACCCGAAGTTACCAGCGCCTTCATAGTGATTGTTGTAGATCTGAGGGTGTTGAGCGTGTCCTATGCGCTTAACGACTGCATTGAAACCGTTGTGCTTGTCAGCAGTGTACTCTACAATACGAGTGGTGCCATCTGGTTCAGCTAGTGAATATGCACCTAAAATGAAAAAAAAATAGTATATCGCGTATTAATTTTTGTGAAACATTCTATGTTATTCTAAAAACATATCATATACTATATTGAAATACATTAAATTCTTTATTTCTTTTACTACAAAGTTTTATATATTTAACTAAAAAGTACAGTCCAAAGATGCTTGCATCCATTGACTACTCGCGTATTTTATCAGGTTGTTACTCCATCTAGTGGAGAATCGTCGAATACTGCACTTGCCGCTATGATTGCGAGAAACTTTGTTACTTATCAATCGAAGTTAAACAATATGTATTCAATGTGCCGTATTATTTTCGATAGATGAATTATTGCCCAAAAAATTATTTACACATTAAACACAAAAAAAATTATTTATACAACACTAAAAAACTCATCAAATCGATTTCTAGACATGGGTCTTCAATAATACATCATAACTCACGCCTTTGGTCATGCGAGTTGGTGAGTATTGAGCTCTTACATTGCTGCTATCTTAAATGTTTCTGTCAAATATTTGTTATTTGGAAATTAAGTTGACATAATTCACTTACAAACCCTACATGATTCATAAAGACAATCGCGAATATGAGTAACTTACCTTTAACAACATCACCATCTCGAGACTCCCACTGAGTTTTGTGGTCACCCGTGTGAGGATCTTTTACTGAATAATCAAAAGCATACTTTGGATAGGCCTGGAACAAAATAAAAATATTCATTTTACTTGGCAAAGATTTAAATACAAGTGGAATTTTTTGGCTTTTGTGATTGAAAATGTAATTTATTTAGTTATTTGAAATTGGAAATAGGCGTCACTGATGTCTTTGATACATTTCTTCAATAATAATATTGTCATTTTTATTATTCTGCTGTCACCACACAGTTATCATTTAAAAGACATCAACGCGTTCGAGAAGGAAATCGCCGAAATATATTTTAATGAGTTGACGAAACACATTTAAACAAGTTAAAGAAAACTCTTTGAACAAAAAGTAAATATGCATAGCACCACTTGAAGTTTTATTTATAAAGACGTTAAAGATAATCATGCCTTCCATAATTTTCTGAGCAACCAAATGTATTAAAAACAAATTACTTTTACGCAGGCGAAAAGTAAAAAATAAAAATACATTATCTAATATCAAGATTTGGTAATCAATATTTATTTACAAGTCGCATTGTCATTATCATCCTTTACTTCTCTGAGAAAAGTTTTCTGAATACACAATATGACAGAACTCATCACCCATAAAATATTTCCTACCGGAAATTGTTTCCTCATAATCTTTTGTTCAACTTAGAGCATGTGATAAAAAGGCACCTACCGGTTGCAAAGAATTATTATAGCAATGTGTATGATCAGGGTGTGTTAGCTTTTTGTCAAGTTAAAGCGAGCGTCCTGACTTTGAACTACCAGAAGTACTTAAGTAAGTAAGCCAGTTGAATTGCATAAATGGAATCATTATTGTACAATGTGTAAAAAATTCCATCAATGAATTCGTATAAACTTAATCATTGTAAAAAACATTTAGCAACGATAATCAGAGTGTGTCATTACAGTCAAGGCTGTGCTTGTTGGCCTGGAGACAATGTACTTTAAGCAACCGGCAAGTATGTGAATGTCACGTAACCATAACAGAGTATTAAATTTATAATACATTTTCTCCAACTACAGATGTATTTTCTTGTAAGCTGTACAATAGAAATAGAAAAATATAAATAAATCTAAAATAAAATTTAGTCTGTAACTAAATAACAATTTAATAAAATATGTCAGGCAATCTCACTATTTTTCATTTTAGTAATCAATGCATTGCTTTTTTCTGAATATTCTACAAATTACAACTGGCAAGTTGGAAAGTAATTTATATTATTAATCGATAATAACTGACATTCTTTCTATAATATGTGTTACCTTGAATAAAGAATATATTAAGTCAAATACGATTATTTTGTAGACGTTGTTGACTATAATATCATAATTAAAAACAGAATAAGAAATTCTATTAATAAATTTTCACGTGGTGGTTCAGCTATAACAAGTTATTAAATCTTAGTCCTCGGGGATGGCAACGCATCTACAAATTGATTTTAATCGGGGATAAACGTAGATGTTCATTGACCACAATACCCACTTACCATCAGTTTAACTGTGTGCTACTTTGTCACCTTTATTCTATAAAAATGTAAATAAGGTAAAATCATTACATAATAATTGTCATGTCCTCCATCGCCTCCCTCATATCCTGAGTATCCTCCGGCACCGTTATAAACCCCGGCGCCAGCGTAGCCGATGTATCCGGAGTTAGCGGCCGCACATGCTGCTACAAATACTAACACCTATAAAACAATAACACACTCAGATATTTAACTAAAGCATTTTATTTATTAGATAGCAGGCTAGGTTTTAGCAAGAGATCTTATATACCTTCGATTACCTTGTTAATCAGAACTTAAAATTGCAATTCACAGTTTTGAAGGGTAGTTGCAGTGATAGTCAGTATACACCACTCACTCCAACATTTCGAATTATGCCTCAAAATATATTAATTTCTCGAAGAGCCCGCCAAAAATTTCTAAATAAGCGAACAACCTGAATTTGATTCCTTCCAGCAGCCTTTACAATTGTGAATTGCAATTTTACGTACTGACTTACGAAGTACTCGAACGTGCAGAAAAACATTTTGGGAAAACCTAGCCTGCTATCTAATAAATAAAATATTTCAAAGAGAAAAAGATTATAATATTATGACTAATTCTTCCAAAACCCTAACAGAATAGAGAACTACAGCAGCCTTTTAAAGAAGTTTGATGTCTAAGACTGTAACTAATTGGATGTGATATATTAATACAAAGTACTGTGTTAGAATAGGAATCTAGTGTACACATGTTCTCTATACCATTCAAACTGGAATATAACTGTGGGTGCACTGTTTTTTGGTGGCAGAAATAGCTAAGTGGGTTATACCTATACAGAGGGACTCCGAGGCAGAAAACATTTCTACCAACTGAAATATGTAAATAAAATTGCAGTTTCTAATTTTAGTGGCTCATCGGTATAAGAACATGGGTTACTGACTTGCTACGTAATTTGAGGCAAGTACCTACATATATCGTGCTAAGAGATTCCGGAAGTAAATGGATGCAGGCAGCTTAGGACAGTGCTTTGTGGCATTCCTTGGGGTGGCCTATTTTCAGCAGTGGACTTGTGAACAGCTGCAGTGATGATAATGATAGTGCTAATGTTTTAGATAGTAAGCAAAAACTGACTTAATGGCATATTTAAACATTAAACAAAACTACTATATTTTTTAGATACCGCGCTCAAGAAGAGGTCCACAAGGGTTTACGGACAGATAAAGATGAACAATAAGTATGTTTATAAAATAATCTTCTTAGTTTGACAGGGTTTGAAAAATAAAAAAGAGTGGCACTTGCTTGGCTCTCAAATACCAGCGTAAAATAGCAGTTTAACCCTGCTGTGTTTCGTATGGTGAGTGTAGAGATCCGGAGACCCTTTTACTGGAAACGAGGCATTACATCTTAGTCTCCGTATCTGCATTTTGAGTCTTAATCATGAATAAATGTAGATGTCTATGGGCCATAGCATCCACTTACCATCAGGTGGACTGTGTGGTCGTTTCTCACCATTATTTTGTAAAAACGCAGGTTATCCATAGCATGAACTATTTACGGTGTTGTGACGGTGTAAGAATATCCACTATACCCCGTGTGTGTCGTAAAAAGTGACTAGGTAAACATGCCAGGAGATGTGCAGGAGCGCCTTCCTAATAACAGCTAGAAAATAAATAAATAGCTATAATAGAGTTTTATCTCTTTAATAGAGTATCCATAATACATATTTCTGTCTATAGATATATTTCTATTTCTAAAATAGAGTTTTATTTTACTAAATGCGCTATCTATTTAGTTATACTATGACGCACTATGTAATTTTTCACTTCAATCGCATGCGTAACAGTACAGAATTGTCACACTTTGTCGTTATTGCTCAAACAACTGCACCATAAGCGTTCATTTTGTTGATTGAATAACGGTAATACCTTTTCCTGTACTATTAGAGATAATAATGGAAATTTAAAATACTTAGTATATTATGGAGTGAAGAAATGAGAAACTGAAGGAAAATTGCGGTTAATAGGTAATTAGTGGTGATTAGTGGTAATTGCAGAGCATATTAAATTAATTTAGCACATGAAAATTTCTAGAAAAAATTTACAATATTACTAAGATGCACATTCACGCATAAAAAGGACATATATATCTTACTTGGAAAGTACGCATTGTTCCTCTGATTTAAAATAAATGTTTCACTCAAAAGTCACTTTCGCCCTCTTCAGCTATGCTGACAGGAGTCGAACTAACAGTGCTGCAGCCCAAATCTACAGCACACTATTTATATCAAACATGGCTGGTTACACCACCTCTTTAAGCATACGCCTGTTTGTAATCGCTTTTGCCCACCGCGGTACATGTACGTACCTCAATGGTAGAGAGGGTTTGGCGTAGTTTACCGAAATGGAATTACGATTAACAAGTACTTATTTCATAGTGTCTCATAATACTACTAATAATTAAAATACTACTCGTAATGCATAATTTTTATACTGTTCCATAGAATTTAAAAAAAATAGTCGAGTTATCAAAATAATTATTTAAAATAGTACTTGTAATGTTTTTAACATGATAGCTCGTATATAATTATAATATTTAATTTTAAAACATTTTCCCTATAGAAATGACATCATCCTAATTAATTTTTAACAAAACTTGATGAAATTGTCAGTGGAAATCGTTTTAGTACTTAAGATACGTTTATACGTTTGACGTATAGCCTAGTTGGTCTTAAAACTTAAGTTGCGTACTTTCAAGCTATACCCATAAAATTTCTACAACATATTTTTCTATGATGAAATGATCAGATATTTATTTTATTACTTACACGTCCCTAATAAATAAACTCTTTTCGTTGAGGTGGTTGGATATCGATATCGATATCATTCCTTATGTTAGCTGTATGTTAATGAATTACGTAGTATAATATTTATGCAATTAATATGTACATATATATTGTGAACAAGCTTCAGCCTAACTATCAAGACTTGTAAATGAAACTTTCAATTTCCACAAAAACATTGATGTTTTTATATCTTCGGTCAAACTTAAAGAATAAGTAAAAATTATAGAAAAGGAAATATTTGCAAGGTTTAAAATATAGCTCTCCACAAGATTACAATAAACTTAATCTTTAACGAGATAGGGCCACGCCGCAGCTATATTGGTTGTAGCACAAATGGGTCGGTTCGACAGGGGAAGGACCCCGCTCTCACAGAATACCAGCGTATAATAGCAGCTTAATGCTGCTGTGTTTCGTATAGTGAGCTTAGAGAACCGGAGATCCAGTTTACTGGAAAAGAGGCATTCTATATTTTAGTCCTCAGGGGTAACAACGCAACTGCATTTTGATTCTTAATCGAGTATAAATGTCTATGGGCTACAGCATCCACTTACCACCAGGTGGACTGTTTGCTCGATAGTCAACCTTATTCTTTAAAAAAAAGAAGTAAATGGTTTCTGTCAACTAAAATCTGTATTTTGCTATGGGAATTATTTTAAGATTATAAAATTGCGCATAATATGACACCTTGGAAATATATTAAGCTTAACATTTATACTCTCATAACATAATGTATCGATC